CCCTTTCTAGGGCATAGGGTAGGAAAGTCACATACACAGTAGATCATGCCAGGGCCTGCTGACACAACCCTACTCCCAAATTTGCAGTCAGGAGAGTGAAGCAATGTCTGTATTATATACATAGGCTTACTTCTTTTTAAAAGCAGATGTTTCAGCACTTAACTGGGGTGGGGGGGTGAAAAAAAGATAATTCAGACAAAGTTTCTCCGTGCTATTTCATTCTTTTCCCCCTCCCCAACTCCTTCAAGCCTCTGAAGTTTTGGCAAGAGTGAGTGAAGAGTTCTGAATATTATTAAGGCTCTCTTATTTTTACCTTGAACAAATAGGATCTTTGAGACATCTTGACCACACTCAGCTGGTTGCATGAGTGCTTCATCTTAGAACAGGTCATGTAGTAAGAATTAGCTGGAAAACATGGTTTCCTTATCATTGCAAATGGAAGTGTGAAATATATAGTCATATTTTAAAATGTACATATGTATTTCAGCTGCTAATATCATGATGTTCATAATCATGAGTGCCCCACTTTTTTTTACTACAAATTAAATTCTATGAGCATATTACTCTTCTAACTTTGCTATCAGTAAACAGTAATTTCTGTATAAAGCAGAAATGAGTTAAATAATTTCTAATAAAATCACAAAATCATTAAAATAGTTAAATAAATAACAGTAAAATCATTTAAAATAATAAAGTGAAATAAACATCACCTATAAGACATGTTACCTCCACTCTGGTTTTTCATATTTTAACTTCATATTTGTATATGGTTCAGGTAATTCATGAGTAGAAATCACTATTTGTTGATACATCTATCCTGTGGCAGACATTTTACATATATAGGCACATGTTTTCACCACAGCCAACTTGAATCTATGTACTCCTTTGCTCATTTTAGAAATGAGGTTCGCAGAAGTTAAATAACTTGTCTTCAGTACACAACTAGTATTCACCAAGCAGGAAGCCAAATCCAGTTCATTCAAAATCTATATCTTTTGCTACTATCAATGACATGCTATCACTGAGAAAAATATAATCTATTTAAAATACACTGGTGTACAGTTCCTAGTTAACAAGTGCTCAAAGAAATTGTATAAGAAATAAAAACTATTCCATGATATGCTTGGATCACGAGATCTTCCTCATCACTAGCTTGTCCTGTGCTTGGGCCTAACACTGGGGCCACGATGAGCTACCAAGTACCTCCCACGGGAACTTTTCCTGAGTAGGGGTCCCTGGAGAAGAGGCTGGACCAAGAAACACACTTTATCTGGGAAGTCAGAGGCACCAAAGCCAGAGGAACTTTTGACTGGAGGACTTGAGCCAATATTGTAACTGGAAGAATTAGTCTAAGTGTTAGGTCCAAAAGGCAAAATAAGCCATACATGGAAAAACAAGGGCCAAGTGCAGCATCCAGGAGGGATGGAAATGGGTCACAAAGCAGTGTGCAGAGCAGGCAGGCACAAGTGGGTCACAAGCACATCTGTGAATGGTGAAAAAATGTCAGGTATCACGTGAACATGGTGTTGGCACTGGGGATGGACCTAGCAGATTCAAAGGGCCACCAAGAACCAGACACTTGAATTTGGGGGAAAGCCATTGACTCTCTCCAGGCCACAACTTTCTCATCTAATAAAATGAACCCATTTGTAACCCCTTCAGATATGCTATCAGAATGAAATGACATGTGAAGAGATTTAGCATTGCGCCAAGCCTAGGGAAGCAGTTTTTTGCTCTTAGCTATTATTACTTTATAGTTGTGATAGTCATGGAGATGACGATAATTTTTGAGAGTAAAGTTTTTATATTTAAGTACCCGTAAGAACTCTATAAGAAAAAAAAATTACCCTTAGAATGGTGCAAAATTAGAACTGAGTACAGTACAAAGTTTAATTTTGAACTTGCAACAGAGTAAGAAGTATTAAAGAAGACCTCAAAGCAAGCATGCAGTAATTTCCCAGTCACTAGATAATTTTTGTAGGTGCAAGTCATTTCTGGTTCTATCTGGATGGTGGTGTGGGAGGAGGTTCAGGCCACTCCTGATCCCCATGCTGATGTGCAAGTGGCCCCTTTGGTAGTTTTGACCTGCAATGACCATGGAATGAATACTTTGAGAAAAGAAATAATTAAGGGCCCTTTAAGAACTGCAGATTTAAGTGTTTTGAGAAGTCTTAAAGAAAACAAGAACAACCAAAAAGCCATCAGTGTTAGAATTAGATCTCACAATAGTTTTTTTCCCTTAGTATTTGCATTGATTTTTCTGTTTCACGTCAAGAAGAAAATCTGGCCTTATAGATGTTTAAGAGACTACAGAATTCCATTTTCCACTTAATAAGCTGATTTTCCCCCCACTATACGTATTTGAAATTAGCGCAAACCCCAGGATAGCTACAATTCCAAAAGGGAATGCTCGGTTCATTATGAATGGTCTTAAAGCAAATAGTGTTCTGACAGCCAAATTCCTGGTCTTCAAATTTTTAAGTTTGTCCTTTTTTTCACAAGTCTTACTCAAGATTGCCTCTGAGCTTTTGCACATTTAACCCTTACACTCAAAGACAACATGTTACTAAAGAACATAGGAAACTCCAAGTTCATACTCGGACTGAATTCCCTTTCAAAAGAAGTCTAATATTTATAACCAAATTATGACCACAAAGAATACACTAAATTAACTGCTGAATTAACAGAAAGGAAATACTGCATTTATTTTCACTTCTGTGGCCACGCATCCTTTGAACAGTTCTAAAGAATCACAAAGCAGTCATAAATCTTATGATGCTTTCCATTTTCTTTCTTCACCTAACCATATCACTCATTTTCAATAAAAAAGAATTATTCTAAAAGGTAAATAGTTGTTTGCTGTTTTTAATAATCAAGATTAATTTATACTGTCTTTAGTTGATCTGAATGTTGTATGGTATTTGTTCAGGCTTCCATTTATAATAATAAACCAACAATATACTAAAGGGTCATACATTACTTCATTTAATTCTCAATAAAATTCTAAAGAATAGGCATTATTAGTGTGCCCATATTGTAAGGGGAGGAAAAAAGCTTATAGTGCCTATAATCACACAGGTAGCAATCTGCAGGGCTAGTATTCAAAATAGATACTTTGAACTACAACCAGTTCAGGAGCATACAAATAATCAGGGATATGCTTGCTTAATCATTTTAAATAATTTAAATTAGCCTATATATTAATATGTAAAAGATAAAAACTGATCCTAAATACCAGGCCTAAATTATTTGTCAGCTGTCTCAATTTTCCACTTTTAGACTTGTATAAATAAACATAACTAAAAATTTCAGTGACCAAATTCCAATAAGAAAATACAGTGCTTAATCAATGCACGTCTCTGAATTTGAGGGGGAGAGTGACATGATTTTAGTAGGGTATTGTTTTTTCTAATTAATTGTGGTTCTACTACATGTTTGTATGTGATTGCTACACAAATGATTTACAAATTGTTAAGAAATGTTATGGATATCTAGAAAGAATACTACAGCTCTTTAAATAAACTTTTACAAGTGTAAAAAAGAAATTTTACATTAAAATGTTACTTTGTTTCTTCATCCTAAGAGAATGAATTTTAAAAAAACACATTTAAAATCAAGCATTAGATATGCAAATATGTGTTCAGATCAGAGATACCAAAATTATTCAAATGATTAATTATTCATCATAAAATGTCAATTAATAATTATGAAGCAGAAAAGGCATCTTTCTAATGCATCTTTATTTTTCTTGGCCTAAAAAGGGCTTAATATACATGTTCAATTGACTTCTAACAAGTTTTTAAAATTCAACAAAGTAAACAAATTGTAAACAAAGTACAAACTCTGAATTTCAATAAGAGAACAACAAATATGCCCAAAGTGGAGGAAAAAGGAAATGATAATAACAATAAAGAAGGGGGAAAACCACATTCATGACATATGCAGCCTCATGCTCACTCACCTGCTAGGTGATGGACAGCAACCTAACCAAGAAACAACTCAAGTTGTGAATTTCCTTACCAATGTACAAAATATGTGGTGTGATGTTTCTCTCTGAATCGATCAGTCTTTGTTGGGGAGTGGTGAGAGTGCTTAGGGAATCTTCTACACTTTCCAAATAATCATTAAAAGAAAAAGTACAGTTTAAATTTCTTTCAGTTACCTATTATAGTTTCTAACGTCTGTTAAGCACTACTAAAATATCACTATAAATAACATTTTTTACAGTGCCTTCACTCCAAAGAATTTCCCTATGCCCAGTATTATTCTTTTTTTCCCAGCAAGATTGTATCTTTTAAAAAACATTATCAGTCTGAGCTGAATGTCCAAATAATCCTTATGATTACTGAATATTTATTTATTATTGAAATATTGATATGATATTAATATTATCATTTTACTTTTCACTGACACCTGGTGAACTTGTAGACTCTGAGACCCGGGGAGTTATTTTAGTCAGGGTGTCCCTGCCCTCCTGCTGGTAGATTAATTACACATTAAACGTTGTGTTTTCAAAACGAAATGATAAATCTGGACACATAAAGGAGGCAAAAAAAGAATCACAGCGAGGGAGAAGGGATGTTAAGAAAGAAAACAAGAAATTGCAAAAGGAACCTATCAGATAGAAGAAAGGAGAATCCAGGAAATGCAACCGGGAAAGAATTTCAAGAAAATAAGGATAAAGGGCAGGGAGGGCTGAAAGGAGGGCAAGAGGGAGGAAGGGACGGAGGGAGACTTGGGGTTTCAATTCCCTCGCGAGGCTGCAGGCGTCCGCGCCCTTCAGCCTTCCAAGTTGAGGCGAGAGCCACCTCCTCGGGCCTGCGTCGCATCCAACTTACTCCAAGTTTTCTGGTGACTCCTACGGGGCCCCTTTCCGCTCCCCCCCGCCCCAGGGAGATTGACAGTCGCGTGCAGGAGGCTTTTCCAGACACAGCCTTTCTCATGGTAATCAGCCCCCAGCATCACCTCCAGTCCGCGGCTGCTCCCGCTCCGAGCGCAGCTCGCGGACCCCGGGGACCGGAAACAGGGCGGCGGGCGGGGAGCCGGCGAGGGAGCCAGGTCAGCTGACCGGGCGGCCGGGCGGGGGTCGCGGGGCATCGGGCGGGGACAGGTCTGGAGGAAGGGAGAGGGAGAGAGGCGGGAGGGATGGGGAAACAAACTCAGAAACTTGCCGAGATTTGCATACCTATGAATAAGTTCACACAATGAATTTCTTATGTAAAATAGATCAAAGGCACTTTTCTATCAATATTGGTTCTAGAAGATTATATAACTAATATATACATGTTGTAATTATGGAAAGTTATAAAGAATCTTACTACAAAAGACCACACTAATGCAATTTTATAATTACAGGGATAAGTGCTTTCTAGTGAGAATTTTTAAAGAGAAAGAAAGAATGTACTTGAGCCAGCAAAGACCAATCTGAAGCAAATCTTTTTCTTAAACTAGAAACAGAAACAATGAAATTAGAATGGAAATTGAAGTATATATTTCCATTATCTGGTACAGAACTTTGCTTTGATTAAGCA